CCAAAGTAAAAGCCGCGTATGCTCTCTAGCGTCATAGACCTCTCAAAGCGGTGGCGGATCTTAGATCTTGAAATCAGCCGCACACTCCTCCCACCCCACCTCACACCTCCACCTCACCTCCTCTCTACTCTCTCCACCCAACCCCCCCGGCCCCCTCTCTCTAACTAATAACATCACCACCACCACCACCCAAAATTATGTTTCCCTCAACCACCACCACCACCTTCTCCTCTGCCTCTTCCTTCTCCTCTTCACGGCACCACCACCAGGCATGGCTGCCTCATCGTCCTCCGCCCAAGACCCAACTCCCACGGCCTCCGCCCGTCCAACCCCACAGCCTTCTAGAAGACTCCCCCCACCGTGTTGGACCCACGAAGAAACCGTAGCCCTCATCGACTCCTACCGTGAAAAGTGGTACTCTCTCCGCCGCGGCAACCTCAAGGCCTCTCACTGGCAAGAAGTCGCCGACGCTGTCGCCCGTCGATGCCGCTTCGCTACCCCATCGAAGACCTCCGTCCAATGCCGCCACAAAGTCGAAAAGCTCCGCAAGCGCTACCGCACCGAGAAACAACGATCCCTTGCCACTCCCGGGCGTTTCTCCTCCTCTTGGGTCTACTTCCGGAAGATGGATGCAATGGAAAAGGGCCCATCTGCCACTGCCAATTCCGATTCGAGTGATAACGACGACAACGGAGAGGACGACGAAGATGAAAATGAGGACGACACCAACATACCCACCACCAACACACGCAGTCTCCACCGTCTGATGACCAATGGAGGAGCAGCAAGAGGAGGAGGAGGAGGAGGAAGTGGTGGCGGATTAGGGTTTCGTCTTAGAATTCCCAATCGGCCCAGTCCGGTGCAGCCTGTAACCGGGTTCCGGTCAAAGAATTATGGTAGGGTTGATGAACTTCCGAACCCTAACCCTAATATTAATACTTGGTATTTTAATGGTTCTTCTTCCACAAGGTCGGGATTTGGGAAGAGGAGGAATGATGATGATGGTGGTGGTGGTGGTGGTGGAGCTGAAGAGATTAAGAGAGAGACGGATCCAGTTTCGGAGATGGTTTCGTCAATTAAATTGTTGGGTGAAGGGTTTGTCAAGATGGAGCAGATGAAGATAGAGATGGCCAGGGAGATTGAGCGGATGCGTATGGAGATGGAAATGAAGCGAACTGAAATGATCCTCGAGTCTCAGGAGCGAATTGTTGATGCATTTACAAAGGGGTTTTCTGGGAAGAAGAAGGTCAAGAGGATGTCATCACCGGATTCATAGATGGGGATACAGAATTTTTTATTTTTTTTTCGGTCGTTTATTGTGCTCTTCTTCTGGGTACTCGGAGAATTTCAAGAATAGGTTTTTAGGAGGCTAAATTCTGATGAACCAGGTATTGAAGTGCCTTTGCCCATTACATGGCCATTGACTGTGGAGATATGGGAGTTGGTGAGTTAGAGGATTCTGACTATTGCCATTTATCTATTTTCCGGCATTGTGCTTTTCTTTAAATTGTTGACCGACCGATCACAAGTTCAGAACTTGTCTCGTTCTTGTAATTTGTTTGTTTGTTTGTTTGTTTTTGAAGAAAAATGTAGTTTTGCATAGAAATTCCACATGTAGAGCCAATAAAGTTGTTCACTTCATTACTTGAAAATTTATTAGGCTTTATATGTTTATGTTTTTCATGTATGAGATGCCTATGCATCATTGAAGATGCATATTGGATTTCCTCTACCTTGTTGAGGCATCTCTTATTCTGGTCCTTAACTTCTTTTGTGCAAATCTAAATTTGGGATGGCCCACTTTCTCACTAGTTGTCTACTTATCCAAGGTGGTGGAAGTTGTGTTATTCATTACTTTGCTTTTGATAATAGAATGAGCTAAAGTGGAGATGCGCGGCAAAAGATATAAACCTACACTAACATTTAGCTCTGTTTATTTTACCGAATTTTGAATAGATTGTGGTACCTCAGGGTTCTGAGTGGTTTATATATAGTCACAATTAAAGACTACTTAGATGGTAGCAGCAGACGTTACAGAGCCTCAAGTAGTTATTGTTGGATGATATTGGAAGATGGTTTTTTTTTTTTGGGTGCATGCATTGTTGGGC